ATAAAAATACTGTCTGGCAGCGATTTGTGTGATAGCTGACACGTCCTTATTTCCCAAGAAATTAGCCCAGGGAAAAGCTTCCAGTGGCCCCAGAAGTCAGTCCGTGCTATTATTATAGATGTCCGCATCACCTGCGCTGGCCACAGGTGACTCTCTGAGGAGCCTAACAAAGGATAAAGTGATTGAGACGGTGACTGTGAGTCCCGAAGTTTAATTTTATGCCACTGCCTTTTGTTTTAGCCCTTTCCAAATGCAGTTCTTTCTAAATGGTCTAAAGTGGATTGTGTAATTACACGGAGTGATCTCAGTGACTTTCCTTTCAGCTTTTGTGTTAATTCAGTCAACACACTTTTAATGAATGCTACATTCTTGAGTGCCTTTCCAGACCTTGGGAATAAAGCAGTGAAGTCCTGGTTCGCACAGAGCTCACGGTCCGCTGGGGAGAGAAATATGCTAAGCAAGTTACCAAGTAAATATGTAGTATGTGAGATGGTGATAGGTATATGAAGAAAATAACAATAAGGGGAATAAAGAATGTCAGAGGTAGAAAATTGGAGTATTGATTTCCCCCCCCCCTCAAAAGCAGCTTTTTCATGGCATTTGGAAGTTCTTTGCCCTTCCCACCTCTTTCCCTTTGCTCATACAGTTTCTTTCTGGAATGCCCTACCCTCCTATTCTGATTAATCAATTGTTACCCATCCTTGAAATACCTAACCCAGGTCCCATTTCCCAAAGGAACAGAGCTCCAACACCACTCAAGTCCTGTTTGATTTCTTTTTTTCTGTCTAAATTCCTATAGGATCTAGAGCCACAAACTCAGTTCCAAATTACACAGCTGTGTATGGTCTTTTAAAATTAGTTTTAGCCCGGCTGGGCGTGGTGCAGCGGTTGAGCGGCGACCCAGGATCCAGGTGATCAGGGTTCGATTCATGGTCAGGGCACATGCCCAGGTGTGGGCTCGATCAGTGGCTCTCTCATCATTGATGTTTCTCTCTCCCCCTCTCCTTTGCTCTCTCTGAAATCAATAAAGATATATTTAATAAATAAATAAATAAAATTAGTTTTGTGTGTAATAGCCTCTATTCTAGCTGTGATGGAATCTATATAACCATCAGGGACTTGCCTTTGACTCTACCCCACAAGTCGTCTTAAAATGCTTGGGGGCACTGTGGGTGCTTACAAATGTGAATTAAATATTAATTCCAACTGCAGCCTCATAAATATAAGTCTACTCACCAGATTTCTTTTTACTTTTACTTTCCAAATGTAAAATATATTTTTATTTGATAAGCTGATGGGTTTATCATTTAGCGATTTATAAGGAGAATTTGAACATCATTTGTTTTCTCTATTGAAAGGACAAAATACTCTAAAATGAAAATAATAAAGAAGTTAAACATCAAGAAATGTGTTTTATTGCTTCAGATGTATTACTTTAATAAAAGCATAAAAGAGATGTGGTAAGTTAATTTTTTGTTAAATTGAGTGCTATAGCAGTAGAAGCAAAAGGATCTGGATTTAAATCTAACATAAATCTCAAATTAAATGAGAACACAAGATGCTGCTCTAATTATGTGTTTTTCCATCCCATCTCCTAACAAGGGAGGTGATAATTGGACTAATGGGCCATAGAGACTATGTAAATAAGTACAGAAAAGGGACTGTAAAAACTTAGGGGCCCCGTAATAGTTCCTGAGTCAGGGCCAAGGCTCCCTCTGGGGCTCCCCTTCAGGTCACAGATCTCTTGGAAATCAGTAACCTAAAACCTTTCTATTTTTTTTGGCTACATTTGTTGCAGGCCCACTTCACTGTACATGTTTCCCTGTCAGAGAGTAGAGCATTCCTATGAAATCTTTCGTAAACTGAAATGGCGTTAGAGCTAAGAAGCAATTACCATGAGCTTATATGTCCTTATTCCGCTCACCACGATTGAAACACTGAATTTATGTCCAGTTTTATGCTCATCATTCCACTCCTACAAGCTCTCTTGGCTTTTCTTATACTTGAGGACACATCTTGCTATAGGATGCACAAAATAAATCACAATATGGCACAGGTGCTCACAGACATAGTTCAAAGCTGTGGCAGCTTGATGCTGAGATGCTGAGCACAGTTCCCAGGGAAGGAGCTTGGCGGGACTGCCTCTCGCGGTTAAGAGCCTGTGCTGCTTCTGTAACGGCTCACTGCAAAACCAACACGGGATGCTGTTTTCATGACAGTGAAAATCCTCTCCCGATTTCTTTCCATTAGCCAAAACGGGTAGTATTATGCATAGGGCTTTTGCAAAAGTAAAGTGGCATGATGCAAACTTTCAGAAAGGGGTGGGGGAACCCATACTGAGTTTTATGGGATGACTTCTCCTTTTGAAAAGCTTAGAGTAAGTTTAAGTAATAAATATTATGACTCTTGTGGATGGTACACCAAGAAATAAGTGACCATTCAAAGAACCAAGGTCACTCAGACCTTCTACTTAGAAGATACTGGCTATTGATGCTTAAGTCAAACACATGTAAACTCTTTTATTCATATACCCTTTAAAAGAACTTTGAAAAACTGTATACCACTAACTCATTTTTAAATTGACACCCTAAGGCTTTCCATGTTAGTTTCAATTCATGTGTTTTTGTAAAAAGGAAGTAGAAAATACTGAATATTATGTTAGATGAAGATGAGGTTTGACTGTAACTAGAATCAATATTTCATATGATTTGGTAATAGTTGTTAAACATCCTATAAACAGAAGCATGCTGAATCTGAAAGAATTGAATAAAATTTTAACATTTGGTAGCCCTGAAAAATATTCCAGTTCCAGTTCAAAGAATCAGCCTCACTAACCTATAAATAACCCTTTCAAAAGTCCTGAATTCAGAACACTGCAAATCAGGCCCAGTTACTTATATTAGAATATGTATAAGACACAGGACTAGAAACATTATGGATTTAATCACTAATTTATAAATTTTGCTTGGCTTCTCAAAGTCTTTTACACCCCAGAGTATGCACCATGGTAGATTTGAGACGGGAACATATGGAAACTCCACTTCAGACAGATAAGTTTTAGGAAAGATTCCATGGGAAAGTTGAGGAATGACATTTTTTCCCTAAAGTTGTCTGTGAATGTTTATTTCTTAGAAAGTCTTTGTTTGAAGTTTGAAGACTGCTGTGATAGATATTTGAACAAGTAGCCAAAATAAACAGATGTGCTGGCCCCTTTGGCTTTACGTGTAAACAGTAAAGGAAGCCAGCACAGTGAAGGTTACATGTAACCTATGTCTCCCATCTTTTTTATGGAAAGAGATGCATTTTTATACATATCTTTATTGTTGATATATAAACAATTTTGAATGGAAGAAAATAGCATAACTGAAAGTTAAGTCTAATGAAGCATAAAATGTACTTTTGTACATTTGAATTTTGGTAATGTCTCAAAAATGTGCCTATAAAATTATTTGCTAGTGTAGTGAATTTTAATTAATTTCATTTATAAAGTTATGAGGATTTTGGCAATTACACCTTAGGACTGTCATTTCAAAATAATATTTATTTATAAGTCTGTACAGTAATGCAAAAAGTAGTATGTTTTGTGAATAAAATTCTGTTTATTAGAAAATTTACTTTTACTGTTGTATGTGGTTATTGCAAAAACTTCTTTCCACTGAGCAACCTTACAAATTAAAGTTTTCCTTTATAAGATAATTAGAATAAACAAAATATTTTACCTTATTCTGTAGAATCAGAAAGTATGTGCATATGTTGTTTTAAAAGCAACATCAGTGTTTGCCTCTCAACAATCAGTTGGAAAGCCCAGTTTTCCATTGTGTAATTTCATTTTTAGGATTTCTCTTGAGTTCCATACATACCATGTCTGATATAATAGCGGTGATTTTGACAAAATGTTTTTATTGTTAAAAAAATTCCAAATTTAAATTATATATTACTGAAAGGAAGCCATTTAAGTAATTATTGAACTTAATCATTGCAAAAAAACCTGAATGAAATACATAAGACATAAACACTAGAACTTCGTTTCTCAAAATGTGTTCTTTCGAAGCTCATCCTGACCATGGAGGTGCTAGTTAAAATGCAGATTCCTAGGCCTGCCACCTGGGACTCTGATTTTCGTTGAGCATCCTGAGTGTCTCTGAAGCACCTCAAGTGTGAGATCCTCTGTTCCAGAGCAGCAGTACTTAATCATGATGACCCATAATGGAAAGAGGTATCTCCGCCAGTCCTTGGTGGCAGAGTATAAGTAATAATATAATAAAATAAAACTACCCCGGAGGCAGGCACCCCCCCTTCCTTACATCTCTCAATAGCCTAATTCAAGTTCCACTGTCCTGTCTGTAGCTACAAAGCTGTATCCTCACTATTATCCAAAATGACAAATATTTTTATCACTTATTACAAACCACCCTGCAGTTACATACAGAATATTTGTAAACTCTGTTTACCTGAATTGCTCTAAAATAAGGGAATTAACCGCTGTAAATGATCTGTTCAGTAATTTCTAAGTATAGACCTCTAGTGATGTGCTAAGTCACGGATTCATATATTTTAGTTTAATTCAATAAGGTGGAACCAGTACAGCCTCTGGTTTCACAAATGACATGATTCAAAATGAATGTGTCAGTTCTAATGGGGTCCTTGCACACTGCAGTAGGAATCATTGCACATTTATGTCTCACATTTTTCCTAAAACGAAAGCAGCCTCTAATCACACTCTTCCCATAAACCTTCACACACTACACTATGTGCCAATGACACAAGATACTCGTTTTGATTGCAGTGGGCCATACTCTTGTCTAGTACATCATTTGTCAGTATAATAGTTGACTATTACAATGCAGCAGGTATGTAAATAACACTTATCAGTGATCTCTGTAAAATTGATTCCTCCTTTCCCTTTTCATTATAAAAGGAAACTTTATTTCAGAGTAGAAAGTGCATTGTCTGAACTCATCAACACCCTCTCTATCCCTCCCCTCCCCAATTTGTTGCAGACCAGGATGAAAGAGCAGCTGAGCTCAGCAGAGAGCAGAATGAGAAAACCATCCGGAGCACGCAGACCGCGCTCCGCAATTTCCGGGAGTTCCTCATCTCCAAGTATCCTTCTGAGACGAGAGAGATTTATGTCATCCCTTGTAAGGAGCTGGATGCCTACCTTGCCTCTTTCTTTGTGGATGCCAGGCAGAAGGACGGGTCCGAATATGAACCCAACAGCTTGGCCAATTACCAGTGTGGACTCGAACGGTACCTGAAAGAACACAGGTACGGCTACAGCATCACCAGGGATAAGGAGTTCAAGCGCTCCCAGGAGGCCCTGAAACAGAAGCAGATTGAACTCCGCTGCAAAGGGAAGGGAAATAAGCCACACAAGTCCATGAAGCTCACCTTTGCTGACGAGCTCATCCTGCGGAAAAGGGGGTTGCTGAGCCGCTACAACCCTGAGGGGCTGCTCAACCTCGTCTGGCTCAACAACACAAAAGCTTTCGGGCACTGCACTGGCTTCCATGGCTCTACCTTGAAGTGGGGTGATATCCGGCTCCGGGTAACAGAAACGGGGTTGGAGTACTTAGAGTGGATGGGTCAAGACACCGGCGACCTGAACGCCAAAACCAAGAGAGGAGGGACGGACTCCCGTGTGTATGCCACCCAGCACGCCCCACAGACCTGCCCCGTACAGGACTACAAGGAGTATGCCCAGCGGCGGCCTCCTGCCATGCGCTACGAGGACGCCCCTTTCTACCTGTCCATCAAGCCAGTGGTGAACCTGGCGGCTCTGCATTGGTACAACTGCCAGGCCCTTGGCAAGAACAAGCTGGCCAAGATGGTGAAGACCATGTGTGAGAAGGGCAACATCCCCGGCAGGAAAACCAACTTCAGTGTGTATCAGAGCTGCAGCACCTTGTCCGAGGCGCAGAGCAACCAGCTGGTGCTTATCTGTAACAATCTGAGCCAGCAGGCTGCCCAGTCGGTGGCCGGGCACTCCAACAGCGGCAATTTCATCGTCTCAGCCTCCTATGACTCTTCCTCAGACACTGCTTGACCAGGTGGCCTGAGCTAGACCCCGATTTGGTTACTGTGTCCAGAGAAACTGTGATTAAGCACTGCTTCTCATTCCCTTTTCTCCGCCTCAGTGTTAACTTTATAAAACTATAAATACATAATATATTTTTCTTTTTACAAATAAGCTAATGGAGATAGTTTAGTATTACTGACATAGTATTTATAGGCTTAAAAACAAATGTACTTGTGGGTGATTAAATGTACTTACTGTTACAGACTTACAAAACCATGGTGGTTCTCAGGCAACACAAAGTAGAGAAGGAATTCTGTTTTTCAAAACATTGTCAGAAAGGAAACAGAGTCATCCTAGACGCTTGTGTCCTCAACTGCTTTTCCTTCCCACCCCACGGCTCGTTGTTAGTCTACTTAATAAATGGCTTTATTTTTTAATTTTTAATATTTTTCTCTTAATCAGGAGGAGGTAACACTATCTTTACTGCTTACACAGATTGCATTCAGTCAGATCCAGAATATGAAAGTGTTGATATAAACTCGACATCAAGCTACTTATATACTCTTTTTTTTTTTTTCCTTAATTAGAATTTTAGCTTCTGTGCCTCGTTTTTTGCAATGTATGAAAATCTAGAGGCTTAGCTAACCTTTTTTTCTTTGGAGGGAAAAGGGAGTAGTAGCAGGAGAGAATAAAGGTGCCATTCTTTTTGGAACATACATAATTTTTAAATAATATGCAAAGTCCAATATTGTGGCAAAAAAAAGACTGTTAACATGGCTCATTTTTACTGTTGTGCTTGAACCTGGATAGAATTTTTGTTCCCTAAGAAATCAGTGTAAATGAAATTTGGTTTTCAGATTTAGAAGAAATTTAAAACTACCAAGGCTTTGAAATTGTCCCAAGCATTAGATTGTATAAAGAGAAGGAGGAGAGTAGGAAAGTCTCACTAAAGATCTAGAAGCACTAGTTAAGACAACAGAAAACCTCATTCTCTTCTAAGCTCAAGTCCCTCTTGAATTATTTATTTATAAGCATTAAACTCCAGTATCTTTTCCCTAGGGGATTACTTGACTCTGTAGTTGAGATCAAAGGAATATTGGCACTCATTTTAGGTAGCAGCATTTGTTACCAGATTTAGCTGAATTCAAACTATTCTTGAAAATGTGCAAAGTTTCTTCTACAGTAAATATAAGTGCACTTATCTGTAATATCCTGCAATTATAATAATAATAATTTTGGTTAAATAGCTCTTTGTGGTAGTTTTTCCAGGATCTTTATTTTCAAGTCTTGAAGCCTGTGGTGAATTATTAGTTAAGATACTTCAAAAATAAAATAAATTTAGACATTAGGGCCACAATAAAGCTGAGCTAGGTTCCTATCCTGTATAATCATTAATGCATAAAAAACCCAAATCTTAATTGCTTTATTGGACCTGGGCATTCTGTTGGGGAATATTTGTTCTTCAAGGCAACCTCCTAAATTAGCTAGGAAGGTAGGTGGTGTTTTATGCCTTACTTATTGTTGACCAGGACAGATTTAATTTTGATTTGTTTTGCTAAGTCATCGTTAGCTGAGCTTTGCCACGGCTGGGCAGCTCTTTCCAACACTAAGTCATAAGCCCGTGAAGACCCTTTTCTCTAAGCTGTGACCTTTCCTTTGGCTCAGGAGCGGGAGGTCTGTCGTGGACGTCGTGTGGTGGAATCATATTCATGTCATGACTCATCCTCCATAGAGAGACAAACAAGAAGAAAGGGCGGACGATATCTTGCTTTATTTTTTGCATTAATAATGATGATAGGCACCATTTTTAATCCAGTATGTGCGCCAGCACTGTGCTAAATGACTTATATACATCAGTTATACAAGAAATAATTACTGATTGTATGAAAATTAGGAACTCCAGATAAGCATTATATATATACACATATATATACATATATATATATACACACATATATACACACACGTATATCTGCTAGCCAAAAATAACCACCGTTAAAATTTTTGATAAATATTTCTTCAGACATTTCAACATATATATATGCATTTGTATGTTTAATATCTTTAATCCTTTCAACAACTTTGAAAGGAAGGTGAGTTATCTTCATTTTATGTTGAGAACAAGACAAATCAGTTAGATTGTAGCTAAGGAAATGGTACTGTCTGTCATCTGACTCCAGAGTTTTTCTGTTTACCTTTTAGTTTCCTCATAGTTTCCAGTGATTTGAGCCAGATGGGGGGGGCCCAGTGTCTTCCCAGCCCCGTAGGGGTGCTGAGTTCTCTTTCGTGGCGGCACTCTCTGCCACCTAGTTCCTTCTCTTCTGTTCATTTTGAACTGTGGGTCTCTCTCTCCCAGTCCTCGTTACAAAACATTCCTAGTCTCCTTATTATATAACTGGCCTGGAAGTGCACAGGACGGCCTACTGTAAAACAACTTTTGAAAAATAAGGATATTTTTACGTAGGGCACTTCTCACGTTTAAGGAAAGGTTTCTGTAAAGAACACTCAAAATATGATTGCGCATTTTACTTTTGCATTGACATTTTTTAAAAATTCTTGATATGTTTTAGACACTAAAGTAAGTTTGTCATGCGGAAGAAGGGTGGTCAGTATGCACTGAGAAAACAACTGGGAAATTACAAATTTCTGTTTGTGTTTATTGAGGTACTAATATTAAAATCTCTCTCCTGTTTAATCCTATCGTGTTTTCTCTTAGGAGAGCACAGTTAAATGGAGAATGTCCTTTATTTTTATTTATTTATTTTTACTTCGATGACTGAAACCAAATAGGAACATTGTGACAGGTTTAGAAAATCGTTTTCAGAAGAATGGCTTGGTGGACATATAGCCGAATTAGTATCTTGGTTGGTAGGGCTGGTCTGAATACAAGTCCTAAGTACACATCATAATCTGAGTTAAACTATGAAAAGTTATCTGCAACTACCTCTAAATTTTGTGGTTTTGTATGAACAATACTGAAGACATACCACTGCCAGATGCCATTTTTATTGTTACTGTAACTTAACAAAATTGTATCCATACTGTGACAGTGGTAGATGCCGAAATCATTTACGTTCACTACCATAGAACCTGCTGCCTTCCACGCAATCCCACGGTTCATGTAAAATCACTAAGACTTTACTTACAGTGTCTACACTTTAAGGTCAGTGTGCTGTCATGTAAGAAATTTCCCAGTGCCCTTCACATGACTCTGGAAGTTTTGCACTGTCTATAACAAAAATGCCAACCCATCTGTCAGTTTGGATGACATAGTTGCAAAATTCAGTTTTCCATATTCATGTGAGTGACTGGCTATTGAAAACCATAGATGGTAGCAATTTTTTTTTTAATTATAAATTTCAGAGAGGGAAGAACATCAGTGTGAGAAAGAAACGATCGGTTGCCTCCTGTATGCAACTGGACAGGGGATTGAACCCGCAACCTAGGTATATTCCCTGACTGGGAATTGAACCCGTGACCGACCTGGTGCACGGGACAACACTCCCGCTAACTGAGCCACACTGGCCAGGGCTGTAGCAGTTTAAAACACACACACAGACACACACACAAAACCTGTAATGTTTTCAGGATGTTTATCCAGCAGAGTTTATGCTTAGATCCCACTTGCTGTCTTGGTTAGTAGGACCAGCCTGAATTGGTTCATAAATACACATCAGCTATTTAAACTACTTGTTATATTGGTTTTTCCAGTGTTAAACTTTTCCTACGTTAATTCACTTTTCCCTGTGTTAATTCACCTCCTGATCTACAAAGGAATAATCTAAAAAATTTCTAGCATAGATTGAGTCTCTCTGGCTTTTCAGTTAGATCCTTTTCAGTCCTTTCTTCTGTAGCTGCTTGGTCACAAAGTGACTGTTATACTTCTGTAGACTCTCTGAAGTGATAAATTAGAAGTGAAATCCCTGGTGTGATAAAATCATCAATATTCATTCCACTCCGAATGGTTGAGACCAGTGCCATCACGTGGCATGTTTGTCAGCACATTGATTAGGCCCCATCCCTGTAGTTTTTGTGAGATGGGACATTCAGCGGAGTTTGTTTGCC